GGACAGGAACACTCGGTCCAAGTTCTGTTACCTGTTTCTTTTTCCTTTTTAGTCTTCCCTTATCAAGGGTTCAAAAAAATCACATTTTACCCCAAGTCACCTTGTTACATACAATTATGTATTTTTCTTTTTTTACTTATTATACCATGAACATTTTTCCATGTCCTTGACATTTCCTCAACACTTTAATGGCTACATTATATTCCAACATATGACTGTCACATAATTTATTTCACTGATCTATTTTTGGACATTCAGTTTGCTTCTGATCAACTCCACAATGAATGACCATGTGTCTCAGTGTCCATTTGCATTTCTCACTACTTTTGTGTGGTCTGTTTCCTAGTAACTGATATGACCCATTTTACCAGATTGGGGAGGTACAATAATACCATGCTTTTCTTTTGGTGCTCAAATCACAACTATGTTAACACTGCTCTGGCTTACACTAGCAGGAAGTCTGGTAATCCCTCTGGGGTTCTCCTCCTAAAGGAGATTCTAGGGGCTCCCTGAGGGATGTGGCTAGATGCTACAAACCTCACACCCTGGCCCACTTTCCGTGCTCTGGGCCAGCACTTCTACCTCAATTCTCTAAGCTTTTTGCATTCCCTGAACCAATTCCCCCCTAACATGCACAAGCCCTGCCAATGCAACTAAGGCCACATGGTGGTGTCTGCCCAGTGCTCCATGGGGGATAGCAGCACCTGTAGGTTGGTGGCCCAGCTCCCCCCTACTGGTGTGTGAGTCCCCAGATCCACCCCAAGGGCTCTCCCTTTCCACACCTTACTCTCCTTCCTGCCCTGGATGCTGCACAGTGGGGACACCCATTCCCTCCTGTGGAAACCTCCTTGCCAACCCCACAGGGTGTATGGTCTGGTCCCATGATTCACGGAAACACCATCATTTCATTTATTCAATGCTGGGGACATCAACAGTCTAGTCCAAATTTCTTTTTAAAGAAAATATTTTCCTTACCTTTCAGGGCACTATAAGATAAAGATGTAGCTAATTTGCACAACTAAATAGACCTGTTGCCCCTCAATCTGTAGACTCGAGTTTGGTTTTGTGGTGACCACAGTTTTCACCCAGCACACTGTGTGGGTCTTGCTTTCCTGTGACTCAAAGGCCCATCCAGAGGACTTTCCAAAAATGAAGGGCATCTTCCAAGTCAGGTAATCAGCATTTGTCCGTCCAGAAACCATAACTGCCAGCTAGCTCCAAACACACTTCCCTTGCTAAAATTTAAAAAATAAATCAATTTCCTGCTTATGGAGTGTCCCACTATATCCCAGGGTCACCTGAAGATGTCAAATGGAATAAATGTCTTATTTCCAGTGTGTTGCAAACTCGAAGCTGGGCTCCATTTGGGTCACAGAAATGTTTTCTTTGGCTCATAATTGATAATCTTCCTTAAAGTTTTGAAGTGGTTGCCAACATTTGAAAAATCAGGACATTTTCAAGAAAAATCTGGATTTCTGGCTTATGTTGCTGGAAGATGAGGCAGCACAAGGCTCTCCTTCCCACGTGGAAGTCCACCAGCTAGAGGGGAGTAGAGACACCCTCTGCCCCAGGACAAGGCACTCACCCTCAGGGTCCCTCAGTCCCCAGCCCTCTGTCATCTCTCCTGCCCCTATGTGTTAGCTGTCCCTCATCCTTGGCCTCCAGGAGTTGTTTTCTTATACCCAGCCCACTCCTTATGTTTGCATTCCTTGTCAGTCCTCAGTACACCTAATTTGCAACTGTTGTTTTAGAGCTTTGGGTACACATTGCCAAAATATTTTCTAGAAAGGAGCCAGTCATTTTCTTGAGCAACTTGGTAGTCCCTTAGCCTGATGCAATTTTGGTTTGACTTAATGGGCAATCATTGAGCACTTGTATGCAAAGGCTACAGACTGCAGGGCTAATGAGAAATCAAGCTGATGACAGCCAGTCTACACCTGGCAACTGAACCCTGGGTGTGTGTGAATTTGCCAAGGGCGGGTAAACAGCCTGGTGCTGCTTCAAGGTCAAGATAAGGACAAGTTCTCCCTGTGGCTTCCTGTCAGGGGCCATAGCAGGTTTAGGGGAAGGACAGGAAAGAATGCCAGGCTGTAGTGTGCCCAGAGGTGAGTAGACAGTGAGGACGCAGAGGCAGCGAGTGGAGACAATCATTCTGAAAACTTGGGCTCTGAAGGGGGAAATGAGAGAGCAACAGTCACTGGGGCCAAGAACTGTTCTGGGGAGGGACAGCAGGGAGATTTTACATGGAAGGGGAAAGAGCCAGTGGAGAGGGATTTGTGGTTACTGATGGGCTGAGAGCCCTGGGGTCTTGGGGAGGCAGGTGTACAGCACAGGCAGGGAATTAGCTGAGAGAGGCCTGAGTGCCCTGCAGTGAGGATGGGGCAGATGTAGAGAAGCTTGCAAAGGGGCCCAGGCAGGGGAGTCCTGCCTGGTAGGATCCTTTCTCTCTCTCTCTCTCTCTCTCTCTCTCTCTCTCTCTCTTTTTGAAACAGTCTCAGCTCTGTCACTCAGTTAGTGTACAGTGACATCATCGTAGCTCACTGCAACCTCAAACTCCTGGGCTCAAGCAATCCTCCTGCCTCAGCCTCCCAAATAGCTGGAACTACAGCTGCACACCACTGTGCCCGGCTAAATTTTTCAATTTTTGTAGAGAAGGGGCCTTGCTCTTGTTCAGGCTTGTCTTGAACTCCTGAGCTCAAGCCATCCTCCTGGCTTGGCCTCCCAGTACAGGTGTGAGCCACTGCCCCTGGCCAGGATCCTTTCTCTGTGAAGCATCAGCTCTCCCAGAGATCTCTGAGGCCTCATTGGGACTAGGACTATTATATCCTTGGCACCTGATAAGAGTGTTATGGTCTGAACTGTGTCCCCCACATGTTAAACTAACCCATAGTATCTCACAATGTGAGTGTATTTGGAGACAGGGTTTTTGAAGAATTAAAGTTAAATGAGGTCATATGGGTGAGCCCTAATGCAATAGGATTAGTGTCCTTGTAAGAAGAGGAAGAGACAGCAGAGATCCAGTGCACCAAGGAAAGACCAAATTAGGACAGCAAGAAGGCTAAGAAGGTAGCATCTGCAAGCCAAGGAGAACAGTCTTGGGAGAAACTAAACCTGCCAACACTTTGATTTTGGACTTCAAGCCTCCACAATTGTGGGAAGATAAATTTCTGTTGTTTAGGCCTAGTCTGTGGCATTTTGTTACAGCAGCCCTAGCAGACTAACACAGGAACAGGAGGAGGTGAGAAAGAGGCAAGGGCTTTACGATGAAGTCACCAGCATCTGTGGCCCTTGGAACAGTCACATATAAAAAAGAAGTTATAAAAGACAAAGAAGCTATTTCTACTCAGAAGGTGGGCTTTTGGATTTAGACAGACTTGGTTTTAGATCCAACAAGTCACATAACCTTCCTGAGCTTCAGACTTTATTTGTAAAAAGGAGATAACAAGATTCACCTCAGAGGGTTGTTGTGAAAGTAAAATGAAATGAGATGCGTAAAAACATTGAGCACACTACCTAATAAACATTAACTGATATTATCTGGAAAGGCGATGCATAAGTAGGTTATGTTATTTTGTCAGTATACTGAGAGATAAATAAATTCCCAGGCAGAAGTGCCTATATTCACACCTTGTCATTTGGTGAGGAACTGAGGAGGGTGGGGGTGCACGTGTTGGGTCACATCTAAGACTTTGCACCATATAGAACCACCATAAAATATAACCCTAGGAAACCAAAATAAGGGTGACCCATAAGATGTTTACACCCAGCATTGTGCCTGGCACATGTCAGGCAGTCAAAAAGTATTGGCGAATGCATTTATGAAAGAGGAGAGCTCAGTGAGTACATTAAAAAGACTGAACATCTATAAGCAACTGTTGATGGGTGTATTAGCCAACCCTCTTAAGGTTGCAAGTGGCAGAAACCCACTCAAACCAGCCCGAGCCAAGAAATTAAATTTTGGAAATTTAAAAATGGAGGGGGAATTTGTTGGCTTGGAGACTGACAAGTCCAGATGTCTACTTTAGGCATGGCTGGATCCAGGGACAGTGAGCTGTATATGGTGATCTTCTCTTTGTCTCTACAGTATTGGCTTTACACCCAGGTAAGCACCCTCCACCTGGTGGTCCTGGCAGCCCCTCCAGGCTTCCACCCTCTAGACACCCAGCAATTCCAGAGGAAGGGGAGCCTCCCTTTCAAACAGTTCCAGCTGGAATCTTGGAATGACTCTGAGCCACCCAGCCAGAGTCATGAGACCATCCTCATCCAATCAGCACAGACCACAGAGTAGGGGAGGGATAATTTCCTAAAGGAAGAACAGGGAGCTTTTCCCAGCAGAAGGATGAGACTGGTTGCTAGGCAGATACAGACCACCGCTGCCCACTGGACTGAGTATCTGGAGAGGAGTCATGGGTGACCAGGAGACAGAGAGAGAAGCATGCTATCTGGAGGACACATAGGAATAGGTAACCAGAGCTGTGCTGGGTCCAGACAGGACAGGGGCCAGTGGGGATTTGAGGAGGCTGGGATCTGCACTGGAGTACCTGGCTAGGGGTGTATGTGGTAGATTGATTGCAAAAATGGCTCTGATTCTCCATCCATTCCTGAATCCACACCCTGTGTAATGTGATTTTGCAGCATTAAGAGTGGAGCCCGTTTTCCTCCCCTTAGAATCTGGGCTGGCCTTGCCACTTGCTTTGACAATAGAATGTGGCAGAATGGATGGTGTGCCAGTTCTGAGCCTAAGCCTCAAGCCATCTTCTGTGCCTTTCTTTGTTAGTCCCCTTGGACCGCTGCCTCTATCATGTAAACAAACCTGGCCATTTGAGTAAGAAATGAGAGACCACATGAGGCTATCTCAGCTTTCCTAGCCAAGGCCCCAGACACAAGAGAGAGCTCTGCCTGATCAGAAAAGCTGCCTCGCTGACTCACAGCTCACTGCAGATGCACGATGAGCCCAGTGAGCCCAGCTCAGATGAGAATTGCCAAAGTGACCCACAGACTCATGAGCAGTAAGTGGTTGCCATTTTATGCCAATGAGTTTGGGGACAGTTTGTTACATAGCATTGTGGCAAATAGATAACCAATACAAGGTATGTTAGGGAGAAAATCTAGCTAGGGCTTGGCTTGCCGAATTACACAATCCTGACGCTGGAATTCCTGGAGGGAACATGTGTTTCTAACTTGCAAGAAAATGCCATATGGGCTACCTGGGTGTAGGGATCACTCTGGGGGAGTCTACTATCTCTACAGATCTCATGTGGGGATTTTAACTGACCTTCTGAAATGTTTCCCAGAGACACAGGCATCGGGAACTTGCAGAAACTACTCAGCTTGAGTTGCTGGGGAGAATTGTGCCCCACTAGCCATAGTCCCCCCTTCCCCTTGAAGTATAGATTTTGGTTTAGACATTTTTATGTGGTAGTTGTGAGCAGGAAACAAACAAAAAATAAAGATGGCCTCAAAGAAAGGCCGGTGGGAGGCCGGTAAGAATTGAATGGGTTCCAAATGCTACCCAGGGGCAACACTAGCCATTTGACCGTAGTGGGAGAGAAAGAATCCAAGAGACAGGTTGAAAGCGCACTTCAGACTTCTCTGGCAAAAAGAGAAGAGCCAACAGGGGAAGCTGCTGGATGCAGGGATCTACCTACTGGAGAATGAAAAAACTGAAACAAGTCACACACCCTCCTACCCACAACCCCCCTGTTCCTAGCATCCACATAACTCCCTCCTCTATCCCCTGACACATATAAAACAGCCTCTCAAATCCCAAACATGTCCCAGGTTGTGTCATCTGCCCCCAAACTTCCCCTGCTCACAAGACCCGTTACAGGGAACAGGCATCAGGTGAGAATCTGGAAGTGGGCCGCCAGATCCTGCTCCTCCATGGCCTAAACATCTCCCCATTCTCTCTGCCCCTACCGTGACGATCCCCATCCCACTCCCAATCTCCCCACTTCGAATCTGGCCACCTCTAAACTGGTTTAAGTTTGTTGTCCACTGGAATAAAGCCTCAATTCTGCAGTCTGCCGTAGAGGGTCTTCCTACTCCAGTCCTTCCCTATGTCTCTCCCTGCCTGTCTCCTCCTGCCCCCCCTCAGCTGCAGCCAAGTGCAGCTTCTTCCAGCTCTCCTCCCTGGGGCGCTGGTACCCGGGCTCTGCACCCCCAGCCTTCGCTCTCAAGCCCTCTGTGTGGCGCGCTCAAGGGCACGCCGTTTCCTCGAGGGGGCCCCCCAAGAGTGGGCTGAGAAAGGGGTTTGCACGTCCAGGGTGGCAGCACTTTACAATCCACCCGCGGGCCCCAGAAGGACAGTGGCGCAAGAAGCCGATGGAGCACGGGGCGAGCAAGCGAGCGGTTGGGGAGTGGGCCGGGCGGGGGCGGAATGGGGGCGCCGGAGAGTCCCTGGCTTAGCGGAGCGTGGTGGCTGAGGTAGCAGGAGGCGCGTCGGCGGCCGGGCCCTTCCCTCCCGAAGCCGCACGCTCCGGGCCGGGCAGGCGGGCCGCGTGCTCAGCGCCTGGGGCCCAGAGGCCCAGGGCCTCGGTGGCGTCCGGGTTGGGCGCAGCCTCCGGCGTCCGTCTCTGCGCTCACGCCTCGGAGGACGCGGCGGCGTGGCCGCTGTCACCATGCCAGGGGCGAAATCATCCCGGAGCTGCGCGGGCCCTCCCCGGCCTGCAGGTCGCTGAGCGCTCGCTGGGGAGAGGGAATACAGAGGGACGGGTGGTCAGCGGTCCCAGGAGCCTCCGACACGTCTTTTTCCCACCCCAGACCGCCAGCGCTGAGGTTGCTGCCCCGCCAACGGAGGGTGGGGGACGGTAAACGTATCACTTACTGGGGACCCTCTCCCAGCCCGGGTTTCACGGGTGCAGAGGACCCTCTCATGTGGCCTCTGGCCCTAACCTCTCCGAAGAGGCCCCTTAGGTCTCCACCGTGGCTTACCTCAAACTTGCTCATGAACTCTGCGAAGATGCCGAAGAATGCCTCGGAGGTGGTGGCCTTGGAATCCTCCCCGAAGAAGGCCAGCGCCTTGCCCAGCTCGTCCATGGCCTCGCGCTGCAGCCCGTCCAGCGCCCGAAGCGCCGGCTGGGCCGTCTCCAGGAAGGACTGAAGCGTCTCCGTTAAGGAAACAGCCGCCCTCTGCTGTGCCACCAGGTGGTGACCCCAGACAGCACCCTACCTGCCACATTCCCGCTCTGGAAGAGTCCTTCATAGGGCCAGGCCCTGTGTCAGTGGGGAGGAGGGCCCTGTTCAGGGTTTACAGTCCCACTGCCCACTAAGCTCATCCTGGAACCTGTCGCAGCTGTTGCAGCCTCAGGCCTTTCACTCCTGCTCTCTGTGGGGCCTGGGTGGCTCTGTCTTCCCTCGGGCTCTGCTCAGACCTATCAGCCCCTTTTTCCTCAACCACCCACTTACAGCAGCCCTCCTGTCACTCTCTAGGCCTTTTTTTTTTTTTTTTTTTTTTTAATAGAGACAGGGTCTTGTTTTGTCACCCAAGCTGGAGTGCAGTGGCCTAATCAAAGCTTCTTGCAGCCTCAAACTATCCTCCTGCCTCAGTCTCCCCAGGTAGCTAGGACTACAGGGGCACACCACCACGCTCAGCTAATTTTAAAATTTTTGTAGAGACGCGGTCTCACAATGTTGCTCAGGCTGGTCTCAAATTCCCGGGCTCAAGCAATCCTCCTGCCTCGGCTTCCCAAAGGGCTAGGATTACAGGTGTGAACCACAATGCCTGGCCCTTTTTTCTATAGCATTTTTTGCTATCTGAAATTGCTTGCAAGTTCATTTTCTGTACCCTAAGTGCAAGCTTGTTCCCTGTATGTACCTCTGGTGCCTAGAACAGCATCTGGCACATAGCAATTCCTGGGAAAAGATTCAGTGGTTGAATCACTATCATTTTTTTTAGCACTTAAAACTGCCAAGCTGTGTTCTAAGCCTGCTATACATTCTTATTTAATCATCATAATACCTCTAGGAGGTAGAGTATCTCCATTTCACATGTGAAAAAACTAAAGCACAGAGGACTTTAGCATCTATCCCAAGATCACACAGTGAGCACAATGTCAGAGCCAGGGCTGAACCCAACTGCATCATAATCAGTTAATGGGCACAACAGCTCCCTGTGGTAGGGACTCTCATTACCTCTCTTTACTGATGAGAAAACTGGGCTCAGAGAGGGTAAGCAACTTGCCCAAAGTCACACAGCCAGTGAGCAAATGAGTCAGAATTTGGGCCTAGGCCTGTATGATGGGCCAGATCAAGTCCCTTTGCAGAAGCTGCCCTTCAGTGTTCTTCCTTCCTCTCTCTGGGGACACCACCCAAGCCCAAGGAAGCAGGCAGGTACCCCTAAACTGAAGGATGCTAGAATGGACAAACCCTCACTTGAACAGTCTTGGTTTCAACATCTACAAAACCTCTGAGTGTTATGTGGGTGAAGGGGACAGGAGTGAGAAGCACTTTGCACAAGTTGCAGTGTTTGCTCAGTGATGCTCTGCAAGGGCTGGGTCGGCAATCCCTCCCAGGTAGCCCGCTTGACAGGAAGGAAGGATCTGACGTCAAATTCCTACCTGGACATTCATCACCGCCAGACACCAAGCTCTGTGGTCAGGGATCCATGACAGGGCTTTCCAGGTAGAGCCCCTCCCATCCCGGCCATAGGAACAGTCCCCAGAGCTCTCTTCCCTGTCCAGCTTTAGCCTCAGCAGGGAAAACCTTGTCTTCTCCTTAGAGGGTGGGGGAGTAGGGAGGGGTGCCACATCCTTCTCTCCATCCTCTCCGTCTGGGCTTGACTCCCTGAAGGCCATGCCCTACTGGGGCCTCAGTGGGAATGTCCTCTCACCCTTAAGGTGACTTTGGCTGGTAAGGCCTGACAGGCCTCTCCTTGTATCTTGTGACTTAGGTCTGGGCTCCATTGCTCACGAGGACAGATGGGGCAAGGTAATGGCTTTGGAGCACTTAAAAGAGCTCCAGCTTCAGTTACACACAGACTTGACACAAGCACTTGGATTCTAAATGACCCAGGATGGAACTTCTCTCAGGACCCTTGGATGCCACAGAATCCTGTGCCCAGAATCTCTTCTAGAAGTCCAAGGCCCACTGGACCCATAGCCAACTCCACCCAACCAACCCAGGGTCCAGCCTGGTGCTGGGACAGGCTAGTCAGAGGATACCGCCATGACCACAGCAAACTTGTCCTCACTGGAGGGGGACATGCTCTGGCAGGCGGCCTGTATCTCACTGATGGTGCCGTGGAGGTCAGCCAGGTCACTGGTCAGGGCCCGTTGGTTCACTGTAGAAAAGGGAACCAACGGGCCCTGATGGGGCCACCCTCCCAGCCCAGGACAACATGGCTCTGCCCACCTGCCCATCCACTCAGCCTACCTTTGGCAGCCAGCGGCACAGTGGGCAGGTCCTGGGCAAAGCCCAGAAGTTCGGGGAAGTGCTGGCTCAGCGATTTGGCAAGAATATGCAGGAAGGTGGACTTCCCATCCACCGTCTTGGTGGAGTTCAGCTGCAAGTGAACCCCAACACATATCCTCCTCAAGGCCCCATCAGATTACCGGTCACATAGACCCAGCTTCTTCTGGATTGTGGCATCAATTCCAGGCCTTTGACACTCTCTTTACAACTCCCCTGGCCCTCTCCATTTTTCTAGATCTCCAGGCTTGGCTTGGGAAAGCCACCTTCTCCCACACCACCCCCAACTTTTGCTGCAGTCAAGTCCTGGCCTCAGTGTAGCTAGCTTTCCTCCTGGTAGGAGGGCCCTCCTTGGTCACGATGTTCTCTCCTCCCTTCTGCCACAACCTGAGTTAGGCTTGGCTCGGCGCCTTGCTGGTAGAGCAGGCCAATCCGTGTCAACTGGCCCCTCACCTCAGTCAAAAAGTTGATCTTGAAGCCCGTGGTCTTGTTGGTTTTGGGCTGTCCATCGTTGAGATAGTTGCCCATGGCCAACACAAACTGTGGAGAGAAGGTGGGCCGATCCTGCCCAGGTCCTCACCCCACCCCACCCCTGGCCCAGCCATCTGGATGGGCCTCCAGGCTGGAAAACCCAGGGGGCAGAGGAGCAGGTGGGATGACCAGGCAGGGGATGGCCCCTGACCTCCAGGATCTTGGCGAGCTTCCGGCTGTTCTTGAGCTCCAGGGAGGCCTGGCGCAAGCACTCCAGGCTGCCTCGGATCTCCTCTGTCTTCTCCTGTAGGGTTGCCTGGAAGTGGAGGCTGCGCAGACGGGTCTTGTATTCGGGAACCGACAGCATCTGCCGCGAAGGCAGGGCCACGATTCATCCATTCCCCCCAGGGGACCCACTGTCCCACCGCAGCCTGGGTTGGGGGCCAGCTGGCTGCCTGGGCCGGAATGCCCGTAGAAAAACGAGCGCGACCCCTAGGGAGCCTCATCCCATCTACCTCGGACCCCGCGTGGGAACTGGGCATTAGAGATGCAAAACTGGGACTGAGAGGCGTGAGCATGGTGGAGGTACCCGAGGGGCGCGGGGCCGAAGCAGCCCCCGGCCACAGCGAGAGCCCTGAGCGGGCGGGGGTCGTAGCCGCGGCACCTGCAGGACGAACTGGTCGGGCTCGCTGAGGCGGCCGGGCGCCTCGCGGAAGGCTTGGTAGCGCTGCTCCTCGTCGGCGTCGGGCGCGAAGAGCAGCAGCTGCGCCAGGTGCGCGGGCTCCAGGCGCCGGGGCTCCATGCTCATGAGCACCTGCCGCAGCTCGGCCGGGCTCAGCTTCAGGTGCGCCAGGAGGATGGCTGCGGGCGGGGCCGAGGGTGAGCTGGGCGGGGCCGGCGCTGCGAGGGGGCTGGGCTACCCGGGCACCTGGGGGCTGGGGGAGGGGAAACAAGCACCGGGGGCGGGGCCTGCGAGGTGCCGTAGGGGGCGCGGCGGGGCGGGTCCAGAGACTTCTCGGTCCTTCAGCGATTAAAAGGCAGGGGCGAGGTTCTCGAGGACAGAGACTAGGAGGCTGGGTGGGGCCGGGAACCCTGGCAGGACCTGCGAGGCGGAACCCGAACTGGGCGGCCGGTTACAGTGAGGGCGGGGCCGAGACAGGGTGCAGCCAAGGCCGGAACCTGCGGCCAGGTGGGATCCGCCTAGCTGTGGGGCCTGGGAGGGGGCCTTCACCCAGCCGGGCGACAGGTGTCCAGATCCCTACAGTCTAATTTCTGTCACCCATCCTGGTAGGTCTGAAGCTCTGCGGCCCAGAGGGTGGGCCACCGCCCTTCCCCTGCAACCCCCTAGAGTCCCCGGTCCCTCACAGGTGTTGTAGGCCTTCTTGTGGGACAGGATCTCCACCACCTCCTTCTTCCTGAAGGGCTCGGGCCTGGGCATCGGCTCTGGAAGGGAAACTGGACAGTTTAAGGAGGGGAGGCTAAGCCAAGGCTGCCGTGGGAGGGCCCAGGAGTGGTGTGGCCACAGCCAGAGGCCAAGACCTCAAACCCCCAGCACGACCTTGACTGAGTCGACTGACACCAGGTGTCCACAGTCCCCTCATTCCTCAAATCAAGGACCCTCAGGTCTGGTCAGATACACAGTATGTGTTGTGTGTGTCCATCCCCCTGCCTGCTGCCATCTCTCAAATGCCCTTTCCCCTGAGCCTTTGGGACAGAGCTGGCTCTCAGATGATTCCTGAATGGACAAGGGCCTTTATCCTCCATCCTGGGACCACCTGCCACATGGAACAACCCTGGCTTCTTGGAGCCCCACCCAAGAACTAACTGTAGGGAGATGCCCCAAAAGGGAGGAGGGCAATGTGAAGATGTATCTGTGGATGCCTCCTGTCCACCCTATTCTGTCTGTGTGACTTTGAGCAAATTATCTCGCTTCTCTGTACTTCCTCATTAGGAAGTGGGGTGATCACAGTATCTACCTCATAGAATTGTCATGGGATTAATTTAGAAGTGACAATGGTCAGCACACAATAAATGCTAGCTATTATCATCTCTACTTTGAGACGGAAAAAAACTAAGGGTCTGAGAAGTCGACTCTAGGCTTGCAGGTTTGAAGACGAATTAGGTAAACAGCAGTCAGTGTAGCCCTGGAGACTCTAAGCCTGGAGATGCCACAGAAGGTAGTGGATGGGCTGCCACAGATGGTGTGGCATCTGGGGCTGCCCCAGGGCCATTAGGCCACTCACTAGCAGGTTTCTGGGTGCCGAAGTGGAGCTCCAGGTCGAGGTATTTCACCATGTCGCTCAGTTTATCATAGTCAGAGTCTTCTCCAAGCTGCAAAGGAAGGTGGGAAGTTCAGAGCAGGAAGAAGAGCAGCAGCCAGATTGCTCTACCCCACCCCACACTCTGAGGCTGTCCTGGGCTCTCTCTGGAGGAAAGCACCCATCAGGCCCTGGGGAGAAGCCAAGAGTAGGAGGAGACTACATAAGCCAAATCATCCAAGTCATTGGATGGTGTGCCAGCTACTCTCATGGTCAAAAATACACGCACACTTGGAACTCTAGCCATGCAGAAGCCAGCAGTGGGGCTGGAGCAGGGGATAGAAAGGAGCTGTGAAGGGATTACAGACAACCAAGAAGCTGAAGGAGGTGGCCAAGGGGTCTGGCCCTGTTTCCACCAGGTATGGATTTGGACTTGGCCAGATGTGTGACCTGCGTCCTTGTGTCCGACTTCAGTAACTAGTGGAAGGATCACGCTATGGAGCAAGGCTTGAAGACCCATCTAAGGCTGATAGGAATGAGGTCTCCAGGGGACCTGTAGGTTCCTGTTCATGGCCTTGTCCCACTGAGCATCTTTATTAGCAACATGGAAAGGCTCCCTGGAGATATGGGAGCCTGATATCATCTTGGCTGGGAGGGCAGGAGACAGAACCAGGACCCAGGAGATGGCAATGGGGAAAAATGACAAGCATGCTCTGCACAGTGTGGCTACATGTGAGAGCATGCTATTGGTCCCCAAAAGATGAAGGGACTGGGGTTGAGGATGATAGTGGGCATAAGCACTGGGATGGGGCAGCCCCAGAAGCTGGAAGGACCACAGGCCATATTAAAAGGAGTGTGATGTTTAGGTCAAAGAAGGCGATAACCCAATTTTCTTCTCTAAACTGGTCAAGCCCCACTGGGGTTTCCATTTGGGGCCTGCTCTTTGACAGGGACATGGCCACTGAACTGTGGGGCTAGAAACCACATTCTAGAGGAATGACCTAAAAAACAGTGTAGGGTGAACCTTGTTCATCTTACAGGTTTGTTGGTCTGTGGACAAGGGAATATACTTGTTCTGCCTGATTTCAAGGGCCAGGCAGAAAATAGGGCATGGGAATTTTAGGGAGATGAGATTTCAGAAAATACAAAGAAGGATGGTTAAAATTTTCCAGTGAGGGAAGGAGGGCTTTGACAGGTAGTGAGGTCCCCATCACTGAAGGTGTTCAAGTATATACTGGCAGTGTTTCGTGGGAGGAAATTCAAGCATCAAAGTGGAAGGGTGTAGGCTAATGTGCAGCAGTTTGGGCCAGCTGCTCTTTTAAGATTCAAGAGAACTAGTCCAGCCTCAAGAATGATAGGTTTCAAGGATGGGTGTGGCAGCATTTCCAGGTGTCCACAGCATGTCTTTGGCTTAGATTGGCATCAATGCGTGTATGGAACACCAAGTATGGACATGTCCTTGGGCTGGGCCTCCACTCATCCAGCTCGGGGAGGGGAGGAGCAGCGAATGTTCCAGCTGATATTGGAAGAGGTCCAGAGGATGAGTCTTGTCCTCAACGCTGCTGCCCAAGCCACCCTCCCCTGGTTCAGGACACTGATGGGCCCCAGGTCACCCACCTGACCCCAGATGGTGCCTTCTGAGTTCTCCACCTGCTCCCACCGCAAGCGCTTGACACTCATGTGGCTGGTCTCGCTGCGACGGTGACCAAGGCCCCGGGCTAGCAAGGGAGGTGCACAGGGCACAGGCGGGGGCAGGGGCGGTGGGGGCGGTGGAGGGACTGGGTGGCTGAGTTGGGTGAGGGGCTTGGCCAGTGCCTGAGTGGGACCCCGGGGCCCTTCAGAGGTGCGGGAGCTGGGCTTGGGGTCGTGGAAAGGCAGGGGTGGCGGTGGTGGGGGGCTGAGCGGGGGTGGGGGGATGTGGTCAGAGATGGAGGAATAGGTCAGGGAGCTGCCCTCCTCGCTGCTGCTGACACAGTCACTAGCGCTGCTCCGCTCGTTGGTTACAAAGCTGCCCTGGTCATCGTGGAAGCTCATCTTGGGGGAAGAATGAGGAGAGAGGAGGGTGAGGCTAGGCCCAGAGAGACTGGAGCAGGTGCATGTACTGAGCAAGGTGAGGGAGAGTGGGCCAGCCTGGGGACAAGGATAGGACAGTTGTGGGTTAGCCTCAGGCTGTGGGTGGGACAGTCTAAGAGGGTACAGGGACAAGGGGCCTGGGACAAGTGGTGTGATTGGAATAGCTCGAGCCAGGAAGTGGGCTAGCCTGAAATGGATTCTAGGACAGACTGGGGCGGGCAGAGGAGTACCCTGGGGGGCAGATTCCAAGGGCAGTGGGCCTCTTGCAGGAGCCCGGGGACATGGTTCACCTTACAGACCCCCACCCCACACTTCACCTGCCCACCCTCCATGCCCACTTGCAGGCCCACCTCCTCATAGTCGTTCTCGGGGGTCAGGAAATCATCCACAATAGTGACCCGGGGGCCCAGCTGCTCGCTCAACGCATCCAGGAAGCGGTCAGTGTCTCGGCTCCGCACAGGCCGGGAGAAGGTGAAGAGCTTCCTGCGGCTGGGCGGGCGGGCAGGGTCCGGGCTTGGGGGGCTGTCGGGGCCCATGGGCCCAGGGCCTGGCTGTGGGGAGGGCGCCCTGCTGCTGTCCAGGCTGGCGTAGGGGTGGGACTCCGAGCTGCTGGGGGAGGCCAGGCCCCCCGAGCATAGCGGGTGGTAGCAGGGGGAGGGCAGGAGCCGCTCGCTGTGCCAGGAGACGCTGGACAGGGTCCTGGGCCCTGGGGTGGGGAATGGAGCATGAGAACCCCTCTGCAGCCAGCACCTGGGTCCCAGGTGCAGGCTGGAGGGAGTGCCCCAGGGCAGGTTGGCTCTGTGTCCCAGGGCATTCCCCTTTCCCTCTCTGGGCACAGGATAGGAAGACCCTAGGTGACCAAAGGCTAAAGCAGGTGAGGGGGAGCACAGCTTGGCACTGAGACAGGCTAGACCCCAGCTCATCTTGGAATGAGGACTGGCAGGGGTGGGGGGAGTCCCAGCCGGGACTCACTGAACACAACTCAAAGGGCCAAGGGCCTTCTCTAGCCCCAGACCAAGGGTCAGGAGGCAGCTCTCAAGCCCAGCAGGCCCTGGGCTCACAGGAGCCTTTCCCAAGAGTCCTGCCTCCTGAGCTGCAGAAAAACCTTCTTCCCACTGTGCCATGAGTGCACTTAATAGTTTACCCAACAGCCACAGGCTAACTCTGGGACTGCATTGGGGACAGCCCTCTGCTTTCTTGATCCACAGCCAAGAAGAGGATAACAGGGGGCATGGGAGGAGCTAGGACAACCTTGACCTCCATGGCCCCTACCCATGCACAGAGGCCTTGGGGTTCCCAACAAACCTGGGGGAGTAGCTCCAGGGGTGTGCCTGGGAGTGGTGACAACTGGCAGCCAAGATGGCAGAGACCAGTGCTACCCTCAGGACTCGGGGCTGGCTGAGCCCTACCTGCGGTGACTGCTGGGCTGGGGCCTGGCGGGGATGACCGGGATTTGGACACAGTCCCCATCTTCCCTTTGAAGCTGCTGCTCAGGCGAGACTCAAGCTCTGCATAGACGGCCGACATCTGGAGGGAGGCGTGGGTGAGTCCAGCCCACTCCCACTTCCCCACGTGGCCCCAGCATGGCTCAGGGGCCAGGCCTGGGTGGTCTGGGAGGCAGAGATCTGTCACAGCCTGAGGCAGCCACAAGGGCACATTGGCCTGGGTCTTCTGGGCCCAGCCCCATGGGCCACCCATTCCCCTTCCCCACAGACACCCCCTGGAGGGCAGAGAGAAGGTCTCACCATCTTGGGGTTGGGGGTCTCTGGGAGGGAGGTGCCATCGCCTGCCTGGCGCTCGCCTGGGATCAGAGGAAGAGGCATCTCAGGGCAGTCGCCAGGACCTGGCAGGGAATGGAATCTATTTACCACATCTGAGCTCTAAGGCTCAGGCCCCAGCCCAGAACCAACGGCCCTGCACACCAGGAGGGCCACTGCTCAGCCCTGCTTACCCAGATTGCCTGGGATTTCTCATCTCAGCCCATTTTGCAGGTGGGAAAACCAAGCCTGGGTGGCACCCTCCTGCCTGTGGCAGCCTTACTTACCGCAGCTGAGGCTGGTCTCCATGCCCTGGGACCGGAGGCTACGGCGACACATTGAGGAGCCCCTCAGGGAGCTGCGTGGCTGGGGCTCGGGTGTAGGCTCCGGTTCCAGCTCAGGCTCGGGCTCCAGGTCCAGCTCGGGCTCTGGCTCTGCTGTGGGACATGCAGAGGAAATGGGGTTCCTATGTACTCTTGGCCAGACAAGGAGCCTCCCAAAACAGGAAGTCATCTGCACTAATAGGTGGACTCCAGCCGTGGGGCTCACCCTGCTTGCCTCTAGGATGACTCTGGAGGGGAAGCCCTGGTGCAAGAAACCAGATGCCAGGAATAGGAGGAGCACCTGGGTGCAGTTAGCCTGGGGACAGAGGCCCCAGTGGGGATGGCTACAGCCCACCCCAGCAGGCCTGCTCTCATGACAAGAGCCTAGGACCTCGTGCTTCCAGGGTCTCAACACCCTGTGCTTGGAACAGGCCTAGTCACTGCTGTCCATAGGAGCTCATGAGATGAAACGGAAGGTTCCAGGTCTAGGCAGATGTGTGGGATATGTGCTGCCAGCATGGACCCTGAGCTTCTTGCTAAAACCCTTATCACTCCTTAGCAAACTGTGGGTCCCTGGGACTATGGATAGTGAGCACACAAGGGCCAGCATGTAGCAGATCTGCAGGGCTGTCATAGTAGGTGCACAGTACTTAGAATAGGGTTGATTCACAGAGTTTGGCACACCTTCCATTCACACAGCCTAAACAATGAGTGCATGGTGTTGGGGACATTTGGGGGGATGCTTTAACAGGTGGGGAGCTGAGACTGCACATGGCCCCACAGCCCTATGTGTGCACATGAGAACACACTGGGAGCCCACCAGCCAGGTGTGACCCAACTGTGTGCTCACAATCCAGGTGGAATGTGCTGGCACGTCGTCTGTAAGCAGTGACCACAAGAGTTTCTTGATCTGTGCACATACTTCCCAGAGTACAAAGCCACTACCCTGAGGTCACTCCCATTTTGTGGGTGAGAAACCTGAGACCCTGGGTGGTTAGGTGGGTGTCCAAATCAGGTTGTGCAGAGGGTATCCAAATCAAGTTGTGCTGTGCATGCTGCAGAAAGGTCAAGCTGGGAAGGCACATCCACGGGGCCAAGCCCTTGTGTGTTCAGTGTGTATTTGCATGGCATGTGGGCGTGTCTGTGTGGCAGGGGCCCAGGCTGGCTATAAGACCTCACAGGTGAGAACAGGTATCTACCTGTTCACCTGGTGGGCTGGACAGCCAGCAGCTGCAGGCAGGGGAGTGGCGGGGGAGAGGATGCTTACCTGTCATAGCGGTGTAGCCCAGGAAGCATGCAATTTTCTCCTGACAGAGCTCCTGCTCCTCATAGGTCAACAGCTGGTAGATGAACTGCCAAAGGACCTGCTTGGCAGGTGTGTCCAGCACAGGGTAGACATCAACAATGAGGGTGTCGATGTTCCTGGGGTGGGGAGGTGCAGGAACAAGAGGTTCATTACTCAGGGGCTCACCATGATGAGTGGGGTGAAGGTGGACAGGGGCAGTGCTTCCAAGGCCACAGAGGTTGGCCTTACGTCCTGCCCTGGCCTTGAAAGACAGGGAAGTGGCTAGGGGGGAAGACTCAAATCCCAGCTCCACCACTTACCAGCTAAGTGAGCTTTCTCAAGTTACTTAACTTCTTTGTGCCTCAGTTTCCTCATCTGTTACATGGGGATAAAAATAGCATCTACCAAACAGAGCTGTTGTGAAGATCAAAACATATAAAGTGTACCAGGAAAACTGACTCACTGTATCAGAAATTGGCAAACAATGACCTGTGGGCTGAAATTTTGCCCCGTCTCTCTTCGTAAAGAAAGTTTTATTGGAACATGGCCATGCCCATTTATTGCCTATGCCATATACAGTCTATGGCTGTTTTCAAGGTCCAGAGACCTTCATGGCCCTAAAATATTTACTATTTGGCCCTGTGTAGAAAGTTTGCTAACCCTTGAATTACATGGAAAAATACAGGATCCTTACAAAATACCACACATATAGGTGAACTCTAGGTGGATGAAAAACCTGTGTGAAAGGGAAAATTAGGAGAATATCTTTTGACCTAGAAGCAGGAAAGGACTTCTTAAAATTTCAAAAGCCAAAACCATGAAACCAAAAATGCAGTGAGTTTTTGATTGTACAAAAATCAAGGATATCTGTTCAAAGAAGCACCATTTAAACCCATTAATATTAGATATGACAAAATTAATAATGTAAGTAACAAATGGGAGAAGAATATATATAATGTCCAAAATCAATAAGGCATCAGTATTTAAAATATACAAGGAACTCATGCAAATCAACAAGAATAAAAAATCTAATACAACAAAAATGGGCAAAGGCTATGAACAGGCAATTTATAGTGAAGAACACAGAAAAAGTTCACAAGCATATCAGAAGATGCTTAAAATAAAGAGTAATCAAAGAAAACCAAATTTAAAAAACATGGTGTCATTTTATGGCTAAAAGCCAGGCACATATTAAAAGCTGCATAATGCTACAATGTTATCCACGAGAATTTGTCTGCAGTTATAGTCAATATATTCAATGTACACAGAACAGTGTGGACAGAGCTGAACACATAGTAATGGATGAAAAAGTCAGACACTGATGTAATATATCACACAATGAAATAAAAGAAAAAACCACATTGTACTAAGCAGCAATGCCCACTTTTCAGGAACACCTTCAAACAAAAAGATGCCCACTAAACTCATCAGACTGGTGGTCGTGGCAGGGGAGAGAAGTGGGAGGAGTGGAACTAAAGGGAATGAAAGGTGAAAACAACCCAAATGTCCATCCCTGCACAAATGGGTGAACAAAATGTGGGACAGCCACACAAGGGAATATGATTTGGCTGTTAAAAAGTAATGAAGTACATTCCTATAACTTGGGTGAACCTTGAAAACGTTATGCTAAGTGAAAGAAGCCAGAAATAAAAGTCCACAAATTAGGCCGGGCATGGTGGTTCACGCCTGTAATCCTAGCACTCTGGGAGGCCAAAGTGGGTGGATTGCTCAAGGTCAGGAGTTCGAACCAGCCTGAGCAAGAGTGAGACCCCATCTCTACTATAAATAGAAAGTAATTAATTGGCCAACTAATATATATAGAAAAAATTAGCTGGGTATGGTGGCGCATGCCTGTAGTCCCAGCTACTCGGGAGGCTGAGGCAGAAGGATTGCTTGAGCCCAGGAGTTTGAGGTTGCTGTGAGCTAGGCTGACACCATGGCACTCACTCTAGCCTGGGTAACAAAGCGAGACTCTGTCTCAAAAAAAAAAAAAAAAAGTCCACAAATTATATTATTCCATTCCCATGAAAGTCCAGAATAGGAATGTCTACAGAGACAGAAAGTAGATTAGTGGTTGCTTAAGGTCAGGGGTAGGGACAAAGGAATGTGGGAGAGGGACAGTGAAAGGCCTCCAATGCTTCTTTTTTGATATGACAAAGTTCTAAAATTGGCAGGATGTAAGTACGGCTGCACATATTTGTGAATATACTTAAAACCATTGAACTGTATACTTAAGTGGGTTCACTGTATGGTATGTGAATTGGATCTTAGTAAAATCATCTGTCTGGGTGTGGTGGCTCATGTCTGTAATCCTAGCACTGTGGGAGGCCAAGGCAGGAGGATTGCTTCAGGCCAGCCTGTGCAACATAGCAAGACCCTGTTTCTACAGAAAATTTAAAAATTAGCCAGGTGTGGTAGGTGTACACCTATAGTCCCAGCTACCAAGGAGGCCGAGGCAGGAGAATTCCTTGAGCCCAGGAGTTCAAGGCTGCAGTGAGCTATGATCGCACCACTGCAATCCAGTGTGGGCAACATAGTGAGACCCTGTCTCTTGAAAAAAAAAAAAAAACTGTTTAAATAAAACAAAAGGGCATAGACAAGTGACGGCCTTTGCACAGACAATGATAATGACCCCATGGACCGAGGAAGATAAATGTAACCTGCAGCAGTTGAGTTGCAAAATGAAAGACACCAGCCCTACCTCCAAGGGCCTGGCCCATGGCAAGTACCCATAGGTGAGGCTGTCAAGAGGGTCCTACCAACAACGGGGCAGATGGTCCCTGTCTGCCTGACTCACTTAACATCATATGGGTAGGAGGCATCAGAGTCAGGGTCTATTCTAGGGCAGCCCAAGCACCCACCACCCTGGGGCCCCTGGTACCGGCTGCTGCCTTCTTAGAGCCTCCCCCAGGAGAACGGGTCTGAAGAGGCTCAGGCAGGGAGAACAGAACGTGTGTCTGAGCAGGACTTGGGTCCCACCCAGGGCAGGTCCCCACCACCACTCTAGCCCCGCCACCTGTGCTGGAAGAAGCTCTCCAGGGCCCGGCAGACCCCATAGCGCTCAGGAGGCGTGAGCAGATGCTCCAGCTGCTGGCTGAAGGTCCTCCCTTGCACTCGGATGCTGGACGGCAGGATCTCCGCCACCCACTGCAGGGATGTGAGCGCTGATGATGGGTTGGGAGAATCCAAAGAATCGGAGTCTGCTAGGACCATAGGCAGGAGAGGCACAAGTGACCCAAGTGACCTAGAGTCCCCAGGCCAGATGTGGTTTCCCTGGCAGCTGGGGCCAGCAGACCTCCTGAACTGGGGTGTGGCTGTCTAGTGTCTCCATGCACCTGCTGCCTGAAGCTGGGGACAGGGACAAAGGTACAGCCTGGGGCAGGGGCCCTGAGACTGAGCATGGGGTGGGGGCAGTCTACAGCACCACCTAGAGGGCAGCCCTGGGAGGGGAAGCTACAGGTTTGGGGAAACAGCAGAATCCTCTGTAGATTGATAAATCCCATATATAACAGCCCAACAGTGTCTCTGTGAGCCAACGAAGCCAAGTGTCAGTGGGTGTCTCACCGCTGGCAAACGGGACGAGCCCTTCCTCCACCACCAGCGTGGGCATTGCTCCACTGCCCTGCAGCATGGACACCACCTTGTCGTGGGAGCAGTTCCTGCCAAGCAGAGACAGCACAGGAGGGCCTGACTGGGGTGAGCCCTGTCCACGGCCACCAACCAACCCTCCCTGTCCTGCCCAGAGTGGCCACACAGCAAGACCACAGTTGTGCCACTCTGTGTCTCCAGCATGGAGCTGGGTAATTTTGGGGTTGGAAGGATGACCTGGGGTCCTGGCCAGCATAGGGATGTAGATTCAAAAGTTCCCATTGGAAGAGGGACAGGACTTTGGGGACCAACTGGTCAGAGGAGATCAAGATCATGGCCTAGAGGTCCCATGAGCCTTGCCAAATGGTTCAGCACCAAGCTCTGGTTTCCCCAATGCCTCTGACCTCATGTCCAGTCCGTTGAGAAAGAGGATCCGATCACCTGACTTGAGGGCAGCATTGTCAGCCGGGCTCCCTGGAAGCAAGAAGAGAGGGTGTACTCAGCAGGGCAGGGCCCCACCCTGGGAGCTGGACGTCAATTTTCCTGTCACACAGGCAACATGGAGACTCAGACACATAGGCATGGGTGGCAAAGGAGAGTCAAATAGGTCAGCAGAGCCCCGAGATAGTCTTGGCACCTCTTTGATCTCCTCTGCTCTAAGGACCTAAGGCCAATGACAGGAGTGATCCCCTGGGGTGGGACCACCAGCCAGGCCTTGAGCTGTTGGGGAGAGCAGATGGCAGGCAAGGTCTGGAGGGCAGCACTTCTGAGCACTGTGCTCCCCTGCAGGGCAGCTCCACACACTGCTCTCAGTCCCTCGGATAAAGGTACATGTCAGTGACTCCTATTTTCTGACAAGAGGACAGCAGTCTCCTCCCTCAGGCCAGAAAACATGGTGTATTAATCGTATTTTTTTTTTTTTTTTGCATTTCCTGATGCTTTGACATCCCAGAACCTGGAAGACCCTAAAGAGATTGCCCCTCCCAGGACTAGCGAATCCCCCCGGGTAGCCTACTGGGCTCTAAGTGCGCCCTTCAAATGCAAACTTACCAGTCCAGAGCCTTCACCGCACCACCTCCTTTATGGAGCCCTCACATTCTGGCCACTATCCACCTGCCCTCATCCCTGCAGGGCCCGGTACCAGACAACTAGGGACAGCCCCTGTGCCCCGGAGCCTGCTGAAATTACTCCAACCAGCCAATCCTAAACCTGCTGAGCCTGCCGTGCCCATTCCTCTGTGAAAACCACAATAAGGGCTCTTGCCCATGTTCTCCCTCACTCCCTCCGTCCCCTGACCAACCCTGGCACACTCCCAGGTGCCACCCCCGCCCCCAGCCTGTGGTGTGGCGTGCCCCTTCCTCTTGAGAACTGTAAGAACTATGTTCTCAATGGCAGTTGTCCCCTGATCTGTTGGCCTCACCATACCTGAATAATAAATAATAACAAAACCTGCATTTTAAAACACGTGGGAACACTAAAGTCTCACTCTTTGCCTTGATGGCCCTGAGTGAAGGTCAAGGCCTGAACTAGGACCGAACACCTGGAAGGGAGGCTGGTAAGTTGGCTCCTGTGTTTGCAGATATTTTTTCCTTTCTGCCTCTTTATCATGAATCATCACTCTAAATTTGATTTGGAAACAAGTAGGGGAAATGGTAAATGCCTAAATAAAAAAATACCCTCGTATTGTGAGACATGCTCTTTTGAGTCTGTGGAGATTGTCCAGAGAGGAAAGGGAACAATCAGGGAAGACCTCCTGGGAGAGGCAGGTTGGGGAGAGTCCTTTCCTTGGACTAAAAATGGGAGAGGGTGGTGGTGGCTAATCCAATCTGGCCTGCTTAGAAGGAGTGGGAGGGTCAGAGGGGTTGTCGAGGGGATAAAATACCACTGGGCCAGAAGTCAGGAGACCCTGTGTTCTGTTCCTTGATTTTCCAGAGCATCTCTGGGCCTCAGTTTCCCCATCTGTAAAACCTCCCATCTAAGCATCCATTTGGCTTCCTAGGACAGGAAATGCATGCTGTTTCTAGCCTGCAAATTGGGGTGGGAAGAACAGCACACCTGGATTGGAACGAAGCCCAAGGCCAAGTATCCCTGGCCACATGTCTGGGAGAATCTGGGAGAATCTGGGAGATGGAGGTAGTGGTGGCATGATTGGAAGAGCCACATCCAAAGAGGAGAGATTAATCATTTCTAGAGGAAGCTCTCTTGAGAGTAGCTTTGGGCCTTTTCCCTACAGGGCTGTGTCAACAGCTCAGCGATGCCCAAATCCAAGAACTAGAACATGCCAGTTATTATTATTAGGTCTCAAAATGGTCTGAAGGCTGGGACAACTATGCAAAGGCACTTAGGTGCTTCCCCAGGGATCAGAAGATGCTCATCTCACAAATCCATCCACTGGAGATGTGAGATGCAGAGTGTGGAAAGGACATCGCATTGACAGGGCACCCATGGGGACGTGTAACCAGGAGCATCATGCTCAGGTGCTGGGAGGGGATGGATGCAGGACAGAGCAGGTGACCCAGCCCAGTGAGGTGGCTGCAGAGAGGAAGAGTTCAGTTCAGTACTAGGAGACATTTCATTCTTCCACAATGAAAATGAGCACCCCTCCCCACCCACACTGGAGGGAAGGAAGGAAGGATTCCTGCACTGGGAAGCCTCCGCCTTCTTCACGATGCCACTAATTCAGGAGCGAGAAGGGGTAGGCTGGGTGGGAGGAGGAGAGTCCTGATTCAGGGAGGGGTTAGATGGGCCCTGCATCCTGGGCAGGCTCAGTTCTGGCTGCCTCAGTGTCCTGGGCAGTGCCCAGCCTCCCCTGTGGAAAAAGGAAAGATCTGGGTGAAGAACTTGGCTCACTTATCTTGGGGTGATGCTGAACTTGGAGGGCGGTGCCAAGACTCAGGCAGAAGCTTCTAGCCTCAAGCACCTTAGGCAGGTGGATGATTTGGATCTGGGGCTTTGGGACACTCAGAGGACACAGAGGACAAGGTTGGCATCTGGGAGGGGGGAGATTGCTGAGCAGCAGACTACACAGGTAGAATTATCCGGGAGAGCTACAACAGGGTCCTTCACCCCATCCTGGGCCTTAGAGACTCAAGGAGCAACCTGCCCACTCCTCACCAGGCAGGACAGACTCGATCCAGACAGGCCCATGGCCGCGAAGTGTGAAGCCGAAGCTCTTGCTGCCCTTGTAGACTCGGACAGTCCTGGGGGAAGAAAAGAGGGGGAGGCAGCATGACCTGCCCTGTGGAGAGGGGGGCTTGGACACATAGGGCATGGAGATAATGTCCCGTGTCCCGCTCCCCTTAAGCTCTCCTGCCTCGCCTCAGGTGCCCACGCCCCGCCCTGGTGCCCAGGTTTCCATCCCCGAGCCCACGGACAGAGCGTCGGCGGCCCGCGCCCTATGCCCCGCGTACCTGCGCGCGCCCCCCGGGCCGGCGCGGCAGCCCACCAGCGAGGCGGCCTTGCGCGGGGGCGGCTCGTCCGGGCGGCGCGGCGGGGCGCTGGCGCGCGTGGACACCAGGAGGCGCTCGGGCCGTTCCTCGCTGCGGCTCCGGCGCAGCCGCTGGGCGCCCTGCGCCCTCCGCGCGCGGCACAGCTTGCCCAGCAGGCCCTGCGACACCACCTCGTCGAAGCGCGCTCGGTGCTTCTTGGGGATGAAGATCCTGCCGGCGAGGACCGCACAGTCGGGCCGATGGCGCCTCCTCGTGAGCGCGCCCTCGGCTCCCCCGCCCCTCCGCTGCAGGGCTGGGGGAACCCGGAGCCGCTGTCTCCACCGGTGTCTCCCCCTCAGTGCCCAGACTTTTGCCCACAGCTGCCTCGGGCCACACCAGGACGCAGCCTCCTGCTCGCTCCACCTCCGGAATGTCACGTTGGACTATCCACCGTGACTCTGGCCTCTTCAGGGCTTCTGCCCCCACAAAGCCAGTCCATGAGCCCGTTCCTCCTCCTGCCTCTGTCATCCATCTCTAGCCTCTCCCCTACTCCCTCTGCACCTGTCAGGCTAAACCGGAGCCAGGGTTCCCTACCACCTAGCTTGTTTCCTGGTGACTTTGCTGGAAAAAACTGGAACCCATGCGCCCAGGGCCTGACTTCCCCCAGACCCTCATCACACCTCCAATCTTCCTGCCTGCTTCTCTGGCCAGCCCCATCTACAGCTGCTACTCAGATATCTGCCAGGACCACCACATCGGCCACCTTCTGTCCCACCTCTAGGCTTTTGCCCAGGCTGTTGCCCCTGCCTGGTACACTCTTTGCTCCTTTAGCTGAACTGGCCTCCCTTCAATTCAATCCTGTGTATATTTAGTGAGCCCCTGCTCTCTGTGCCAGCCAGGCACTGGGGCTCAAAGCTCAAGGGACTGTGGCTCCTGCTCTCAAAGGAGTCGCCCTGGAAGTGGTGAAAGCCAGGGGAGAGACAAGGTCCCCTGAGTGGGGTCCACACCCCGGGATGATTCTTTGGTGTCCATGCGTCTCCTCTGTGAGGCTGGAAGCTATCTCAGGGATGGGTCCATAGCTCAGCAGTGAGCCCCAGTGACCAGCTGGGGCTTGGCACCTGGGAGGGACTCAGTAAACAGGGAGGTCCCAGCAGCCTAACCACCTCTCTGAGTAATGGCGGCAGTTAACATCCTGGTGGACTCCCCAGGCCAAGGCAGAGGACTCTGAGGCACAGAGAGGATCTGTAACTTTCCGGGTTTAAACAGCTGTCCCTCGGCACAGGTGGAAGCGGCGGAGCCCAGCCTCCTGAACGTCAGCACTGTGGCAGGACCTCTGACAAGGGCCCCTTCAAGGTCAGGTTGCTAGCGAAGCCTCCCTGGCCACATCCCAAGGTTCCTTTCCCTGTTCTTTTTACCAGGAGTCAGTGCCAAGGGCGAATGGGAAGGAGGAGGGAGAGAGATCAGTGGCCTTGCAGCCCACTGAAACACAAGCCCCTCTGCTTGCCCGGCAGCCCCACCCAGTCCCCCAGGTCTCTGTGGGTAGGATTAATGAGGCCAGATAGGCAAAATAAGTCACCTGGAGGGAGGGAAGGGATGTGGATCCTCTGGGAGGAGGGTGCACTCTCCCTGCCCCAGTGAGCTCTGCTCCAGGTCTGGATGTTCCAAGTGGCCAGGAGGCCAGAATGAATGGCCTGCTCAACACTGCCAGGGGCCTGTCCCTGTCCCCCTGTAGTGATTCCTGCAAACCTTAAGCCTCAGCTTTATTCCCTAGGTCAGGGGTCCTCAAACTTTTTAAACAGGGGGCCAGTTCACTGTCCCTCAGACTGTTGGAGGGCCAGACTATAGTTTTAAAAAAACTATGAGCAAATTCCTATGCACACTGCACATATCCTATTTTGAAGTAAAAAAAACCAAGCGGGCAAAAATATCCAAATGTGGCCCGCAGGCTGTAGTTTGAGGATGCCTGCCCTAGGTGGTCACTCAAGGTCTCCAGAGCTGGATGCCTCCCTCTGCCTGGCCTGTACATTCCCCACATCCTCCCAGACCTCACGCCTCTCATGCCCTGGCCCAGGAAGGATGACAAGGCTTGAGACTGTCCACCTCACACTCCAGGCTCCAGCTACAGGCTCTGGAAGGCATCGGCCCCTTACACCCAGCCCCTGAGTCCAACCTGGACAGGGCCAGGTGATCATCACAGCTAATTTCCAGCAGTAACTAAAAAAGGCCCTTTCCCTGCAGTGGGAACCAGGCTGAGTCACCAACTGCACAGGCTGAAGAAGGTCAGGTGGCCAAGGATGCCCTGCTTGGCATCCTTGGGGCTGAGACTGAGGCCAAGGCTGCCTGAGCCAGACACCCTTCCTGGCTCGTGGGCCCTCCATGCAGCTCAGTCTGGTGCAGGCTCCCAACCTGGGTCTGCTCTGAATTGACTGACCCAGGACAGCCAGGTGTAGTGGGGCCACACTGACTATTGTGACCAATCACTAATCCTCTGACAGTCCAGCAATAGCTGTCCCAGGACTCCTATGTCCCTGCTATGCCAACAGGTCTCTCTGAGGCCACAAGACTCTTCCTGGGGGCCACATGATGACCTTGCACTCAGGGTCAGTTCTGTTCTCTCTGCCAGAGTCAAGTCTAAGTCCAACCCCAGGTTCCTACCAGGAAGTTCCTTAGGGTCCTCTCTCTCCCTTCTCTGTCCCAGCCCAGCTTTCTCTACCTCACCGTTGATCATCAGCCAATGAACTGGTGGGGAGGGAGTGACGGTACCCTAGTTCATTGGGGTAGCGCCAGCCTGGGGTGCTGACAGTGAAGAGGTCACACCCTCCAAACTCAGGACCGAACGTGCTGGATTCTCGCCAGAGCACCCGACCCCAGCCTCTGCCCTCTGTTCTTTCCCCTTGACCAGCCCAGTCATAGGAAGGAAAGAAGGCTTTTCAATCCCAGCCCTTCGTCCCGACCCCATGCGTAGGGCCATGTGCGGGTTCCCAAAGCGCAATGTGGAGACCTCGCCACCCTAGTGCTGCCCAGTTTTCTTCCCCCCTCCCCAGCCCCCGAGCTCCGCCCAGGCTCGGAGGTGCCCACCCAGGGACGGGAGTCCCTCAGTGCTCCAGCCCCACCCCCTTTCAGGCCCGCGGGAGACGAGTCTGCGGCGCCCAGGGCGCACGGATCCCGGAGGCGCGGGGAACAGAGGGGAAGCTACCGAAAGTGCCGAGAGAAGCCCTGGTCCTTCCCCATCTGGAGCCGGGGACCGCGGCGCAGCAGGTGCCGAAGGGCAGCTGGTGGTCGAGCCTGCGAGCGAAGCGAGGGAGCCGCGACTCCACGCGCCTCTGCCGGGCAAGCGCGCGCGGCCCCTCCCGAGCGGTCCAGGCCGGCGGCCCCGCGCCCGCCCCCTCGCGGTGGCCCCGCCCCGCCCCACCCCGCCTCGCCTGGGACCCTTCTGCTTGCTGGAGGGTGAGGGGGAAGCTGTGGGCCCTTCGAGGCCGCCACGCTCCCTCCCCTTGGTTCCCTCCATCATTCCCACCCCAGGACCCTCCCCTGTAACCTCTCAGTCCCCGGGCACCTCCAATCCCCCGCACAGTGGCGAGTCCCCACGACCCTGTTGCGGCAAAGACTGAACCCGACAGCTCAGAGGAAGCCCCCATGGGAAAGCTTTCTGGAGGGGATGGCCTTGGCCCAGCCCCAAGGCTCAGCAGGAGTCGCCAGCGAGAAGCAGCTTCCCTACCTACCCAGGGAGGCGCTCTGGCGGAGAAGAGGCTGGAGAGGGAGACAGCTGAGAGCAGAGGGGAGCCATGGAGGGTTTAAGGAGTCATGGGTAAGTGGAGGGACTCCAGAGGTTTTGGTACACCAGGGGATGGGACCGACAGAGGGGTGCTGGTATGGGACAAGGGGCTAACAGATACTAAAATGGCAGAGGAGGTAGAGTGCCTGAGGCCTGGTGAGTGAGTGGAAGTGAGGAGGGGGCCAGGCTGGGACAACTGCCAGGTGAGTGGGGAGGGGCTGTGTAGAGGACCTCCCTGAGATGGGCACTCCAACTCTGAGAAAAGCGAGGAATAGCTAACGGGGAGGAGAGGGAAGTGACAGGAAAGGGCACATGGGCTCCTCCCTGGCTCTGGGCCTGCCATTCCCTAAAAGTCAGCAGGTGCAGCCCCAGCGATCCTGCTCTGCATTGACATTTCTCACAAAGTTCTGACTGCCCGGAGAGGGCCTGAATCTGAGATCTGAGGAGCAAATGACAGGCCCGTGGAGGGGCCATCAGCATGAAGCCCTCTTCTCCACCACCCACCGCCAGCCACCACCTACTCAATCAGAAAACCCCAGGACCTTACCTCTGTCTCGCTCAGAGGAATATCTCACAGGGGCCGGCCTGTGGCTGCCTGCAGCCAGTCACAGAGAGGACCCTGCAGATCTGACCATCAGTTTCTGGTATTCTGTCCACACCACACTTCCCAACACACCTCAGCCCCCCATTCCTGGCCCCAGTGAGGACTTCTCAGCATTGCATTTGTCCCTGGCAGCAACAAGAAGCTGGAGCCCACTCATGCCACACCTTGTCCTTAGCCCTGCCCGGGAGAAAAGATAAGCCTCACAGTGAGCACAGCTCCCTGACATCTGCAGGGCCACGGCCATCCTATCATGATGCAGCCATTTCTGGTGGTTTTGCACCAGCTGCAGTGGCCCAGCATCCAGAAGCAGTCACGCCCAAAGGCTTTGAAGACTGTTCACCATGTTGTGGGCATGGGAGGTGCAACCATGGAGCAAGTGCTCATGCTCGAATTCAGTGCTGCCTCAAGGCCAGGTCCCCACAGGCACAGTGGAGGCACTGGATGGGGCCAGCACCTGGTGCATCTGGCCAGGTGACCCATGGCAGCATATGGTGGTCACCGGGGGACAGGCAATGGCTGGACTTTGCTGAAGTGCCTGTTCTAGTGAGAGAGCACTGCCAAAGATTACTCTAGGGCTGTACTTCTCAACCAGGGGCAACTTTGCACACACACACACGCCACCAGGGGACATCTGGCAGTGTCTGGACAACTGGGAGGGTGGGTGTGCTACTGGCATCTAGTTGGGTAGAAGCCAGGGGTGCCACTAAACACCTGTACAATGTACAGGACAGGCCCTAGCAACAGAAATATCAGGCCCAAAATGTCAATAGTGCTGTACTTGAGAAATCTGCTCTTCAGAAAAAGAGGTCTTCCCTAAGGGAAACCAATACTAATTGAGCACATGTTATATGCCTGGCACTTCTACCTACACAGTCTTAGAATTCTCCAAATAATTTTGTATTGTGGTGTCCCTGACACTTGTCACTAAAGCAGAAAAGGGTGAAGGGGAGCAGATGGTTTCTCATACCTTACCCCTAGATTCTCAACTAATCTCTTTTCTGCTTACAGTTGGCAGAGTTCATTTATATGGTTTCCTACCAAGAACCCTGCTGGGTACACATAGAAATTACCAAGCCCAGCCAGGCATGGTGGCTTATGCCTATAATCCCAGCACTTTGGAGGCCGAGGTGGAAGGATCACTTGAGGCCAGGAGTTTGAGACCAGCTTGGGCAACATGGCAAGACCCCCGTTTCTACAAAAAAAAAATTGAAAATTAGACTGAGAATGTGGCTCATATTTGTAATCCTAGCACTTTGGGGGGCCAAGGTGGGAGGATTGCTTGAGCCCAGGAGTTTGAGGTTACAGTGAGCTATGATCGCACCACTGCACTCCAGCCTGAGCAATACAGCGAGACCCTGTCTCTAATAAAAAAAAATTACCAATCCCATTTTACAAATTATAGAGGTTAGTGAACTTGCTCAAGGTTGTACTGCCAGTGAGTGGACCTGGAGTTCTAGCCAGGTGTGTCAGGTTTCCAAATCCCAGCTTCCACTACCCCTACCCGACCCTCCCAACCCTCCCCAGTCTCATATTTTCTGAGACACTAGCGGGTCACAGAGCTGACTCTGCTTTCCTGCTCCCTCCTGCCCACGTCACACTTTCCAAACTGCCTGTCCTGTCCTAATTAGAAAGCCATTTTATCACTTCATCAGACTAGGATCCCTTTGGGAACAGACCCAAATTAGGCTTTGAGTTGAAAGATTAACTGCCTTTGTAGAAGAAGACGTGAGTACTTTGCAGCCACTGATCCATGTCACCCTTCACAGCAGCAGCAATGACTGAGGGTACATCCTATGATGATGGACCTGTCCTATACAGCGGCCACCAGCCATATTTGGCTATCAAGTGCTTGAAATGTGGCTAGGGAGATTGAGAAACTGAACTTTAAATTTTATCGAATACTAATTAAATTTAATGTCAAATAACCACATGTGGCTAGTGGCAACTGTGCTGGATGGCCCAGCTTTGTGGTCTTACTGCCCCCCCTTCCCCTCCCCAGGCTTTCTGTTTTGGCCACTGGGACCACCCCTGAGTGAGGCCACACCTCTTTGATTTGGGTGAGTTCTAACCTTCGTGTGGAGCTTTCACTCACACACACACACACACACACACACGCACACGCACTTCTTCACCTCTCATCCTTTGGCTGCTCAACCTCTCAGTTAAACCTTGTCTCTCCTTGATGTGGGGTCCCATGGCCAGAACAGTAGCTCTCTGTGGTCCCCGCCCCATACTGGGTGGTTCACAGCTGGGTACTGTTAGGTTCCAGGAGCCAGTGTAGCACTGCCCTCACCCTCTGTGGCTAGATGCCTGGGTCTGATGAACTCCCCTTGGGGACTGTCCTTCTACCTCGACAGGACACACCTCTGGATCCCCCAGGTCACTGTCTGAGTCACAGCACTGACACCTGCTGCCTCCTCCCAGGAGCCTGCCCTGATTGCTCCATACCGAGTTAGCTATGGGTTGCCCCTCACCTCTGGGGATCACAGCTGTGTCTGTGACTTCCCCATAACGCCCCCACCAGGAGGTGCTGCTCGGGGATCACCATCCCTTAACTGGAGCCCAGCACATGGTGGGGCCATTGGGGACTGGCCAGTTCTGGAGAGGGGGATGTTAGGAAGTGGGGGTGGGTGGAGAGGTGGAGGGTGGCTGAAGCTCACTGCCAGGGTAACCCTCTCCCTGCAGAGCTCGGCTGGGCGCCGCCCCCTTCTCCGGCAGCCTCCCCAATTTTCCCGTTGCACTTGACACGCGCTGACAATAGAGGCTGCGGTTTCGTCCTCTCCAGCAGCGCCCGGGGGAACGCTGCGGGGGACTAGGCATCCCCAGGTGTCCAGGGTTCCCGCTTCCCAGGTTCTAAATCGAGCTCGCCCAAGGGGGCGCCCCTCCCCGCCCATCCTGACCCTCATCCGCGGCTGCCCGGGCGCCTGGGGACGAACTGCGGCCGGGAAAGGCAGGCGAGGGGGCTGTCCCGGGAGGCAGCCGCAGGGGCAGGCTGGCCTGGAGAGGCGGCAGGAGCAGAAGGGGGCAGCAACGAGGGGAGATGAGGGGGACCGAGAGGGCCTCCAGCTGAGTCCGGCTGCCAACAGCCTGGAGACAAGCGCGCCAACTTCCCGGGGGGTTAGCGGGCCGCCTGCGCCCCCTGGCCCAGCCCTGGCGGGGAGGGGCCGGGCGGGGGGGGGGGGGGGGCGCGGCCCCCACCCCCACAGGAGACGGGCTGGGTAAGGGTTAGGGATTCTGTTCTGGCTCACAGCTTAAACTAAAAAAAAAAAAAAAAAAAAAAAAACTCCTAGGTCCTGTTCAGTGGGGGGGGGGGGGAGCTGCCCATCCATCACTTCACCAGGAAGCCCTCGGAGCCAGCGCATCTCCCCGGCAAATTCGGCTCTAGAAATAACTTTTTTTTTCCCTCCGGATTTTCCAAGCAAGGGTCTCAGCCCTTACTCACCCCAGGCAGCTCATGGTGGCCTCTTTCAGTGGTCGCCTAAGCTCCGCTGCAGAGCCGAGACGCGGCGCCGGGGCTGGGGGGGGCGGAGGGTGGCCAGCCCCGTCCCTGACATTGGCCAGGCCCAGAGGGAGGGGCAGGCAGCGGGGTGAATGGCAGCAAGGGGAGGGGGCGGGCTGAGCCCAGGAAGAGGGAGGAGAGGATGGGGGAGCAGCGCAGGCCCGGGAGGCTGAGTGGGGAGGGAAAGCTGGGCAGGATCCGGGTAGGGGAAGCATCTCCTGGGCCCAGAGGGGGCCTGCTTGAACCGGGGAAGACCATGAGGCCCTCAAAGGGTGGAGATGGGGTCGGGAGATTCTGTGTCACTTCAGGTGAGGACTCACCAGGAAATTTTTTTTCTTATAAATAAACTTAGAGGTTGAGTCCACAGCCCAGCAGAAGAGCACAAAGTGCATAGCTAACAAGGTTCCCTGTCCTGTGCCTGCCACTAATTTACTGTGTGGCTTTGGGCCAGCCTCTTAACCTCTCTGAGCCTCAGTTTGTCTCTATGAAATGGGGTTAATAATAGTTCTGGAGGGATTCAGCGAGGCAGTGTTCCTCTGGGGCATGATGAGGCCATTGACACACACTCCTCATCAAAAGACATCAGAGGGCAGAGAGCACCCGCTGTGTAGGGTGGGGGCAAGTGTTGGGGATCTACACAGCACAGTCCTAGGTGTCCTTCCTTGCCCTTGCATTGTGCCATTACTCTGTCTCAAGAAAGAATTGGACATATCAGGTATCCTGTTGGAGATTTTATGATCTGGGGTTTGGGATGAGCATGACAGGTCAAGACTTTAGATCAGGAGATGGATCCCCTCTGAGGCCTGTCCCAGGCCCCATCACTCAAGGCAGTGCCCTGGCCTCCAGCAAAGCCAACAGCTCCCTTCCCAGGGATGCTCACTGGCTTACCCTCGCTCTGGGGCTGATGGCATGTTGGAGTCCTAATTCAAAAGCAGGCCACCATCTCTGACCTAGACTACTGGGGGAATAGACAGCCCTGAGTGACACCCACCCTTCCTGTCCATCCTGTTCCCAGACTGCAGTACCTGAGGTTGTCCAAGAGTGGCCCACAGGCCTCTCGGGGCAGTGCCAGGGTGAGAGCCCACACCAGGTCATCCACTCGCTGCTCGGCTGCAAACTGCTTCAGCGCTGCAAACACCTGCTCCTTGGCAATCGGCTGGTCCCCCAAGATTTCATCCACCTGTGAGGAGGGGTCCAGTGAACCCTGGAGAATCACTCCCTTCCTCCCTCCCACAGTTTACCTCCCCAGGACAGCGGACATGGAGCACTGACTGAGGGCTTTGCCCCATCACATCATTTCAAACCTCATAGCTGCCTTATGAGGTGGGCCTGGTTGCATGGTTAGTATCTTCATTTTATGCCTAAGGAAATTGAGGCTGATAGAGGTGACAGAGTCACTGGGCCAAGATAACAGAGTCAGGATTCACACCCAGAGACAGCCGTTCTAATGAATGTTGTAAGGATCAAAGGGATTAATACAAAAGCTTAAAACTGTGCCACACACTCAATAATTGCTAGTTACTATTATTATAATACTATACTCCCTTCCACAACTACTGTTTGCTGAGAGATCCCACAGAGAACATTCTGGCTCCACAAAAAAGCCCCAGAATGCAAGCCTAGACCTGAATAGTGACACCCTCCGTTCTCCCTCCAAACTTTTGTTTTCTTTATCTTTGTGACTGTTTCTGGAAGGCAGCTTAAGTGTGTCTAAAGCTGATCCTTTTACCCAATGATTTCACATCTAGGAATTTATCCTAGACGTGTCCTGACAAAGCAAAACAAATGCACAATGATGTATGAGTGAGGAGGCTCGCCTCTGTATTATTTATAACACTGACATGTTGGAAGCAATGTAAATATCTGACAATGTGGGCTAACTTGCTTACTGTCTCTTTCCCCACACCAACATTAGTTGTATGAGATCAGGCTCCTTGTCTTTCCTGTGCATCACAGGGGCATAATCGGGGACCATTAAATGCATGGTTTTCAGTGTCTCTACTGCCTCGCTCCTTGCAGATTATATAAATGTTGCAGTCTTTCCCAGGCTATAAATACATACGTACATACATGCACACACACACAGTCCTCCTTTGATCCCACAAGCTGATCATTCTCTTCCTTTTTCTAGCCCAGAACTGTCTACATTTGCTATTTCCATACCACTGCCCTTAACCGCTATAGTCCACACCCCCACCACCGCCACTTGCAGCTCTCCATGGCTCTGCTCTGGCCAAGAACCCCAGATGGTGATTCCCAGATCTTGATCTTCAGCCCAGAGCTCACTCCTGAACTTCAGAATTGTAGATCCAACTGCTTCCTAGATGGTTCCCCACAAAGGGATTAAGGAAGTCTTTCCAGAGAGGTGACACTAGCAGGGGTAAGGGGCTTCGAGGGCTCCCAGTCAGAGGCTATGTTCTGCACATGTCTGAGTACTAGCACAAACACATCATGAGTATGTGTAACTGTTGTCTCCCTACCAGATATGATGACTAAGGTCTCACTCCTGTTCAGCCCCCAGCACAGGGCCAGGCACACAGTAGGCACTCAGTGAATGTTGATGGAATGGAATCAAAACATGGCATTGCATTGCATTACATTTTCTGCAGGCCCCCAGCTGACTGCTGTCTCTTCCCTGGCAAGCAGGGCAGGCTGCAGCCCCAGGCACCCCCTCCCCATGCAACCACCGTGCTGAGAAAGGTTGACGGTTTGGAAATCAAAGTCAGCAGCAGCCTCGATTCAAAGGACTACATAGTTAGCTGCAAAGATGTTTTATGTAAGAAAGAGGGAAAAAATAGTTCCTCCCTCCTGGGGCCGGTGCCACAGTGCAGTTTTGGTGTCAGTTATTACCCAGATGTTCTCAACCTACATCTAAGCATGAGGCACCATCACGGGACACTAATGGATTTTCTATTAAATATCAGCTACCTCAAGGAGGAAAAACTGGGGCAGGCAGAGTGCAGCAGGAACTCAAAGGCTGGTTATTGAAAACCGCAGGGGGCTGTGCACAGGCCCTGCATCATCCGGAGGCAGTCAGTCTCAGCTTTCGGGGGTGCTCGGTGAGCCCTAACCAGAATCCACCACTCCACATTACTCCTTGCCAGAAAATGCACCACAGCTGGCCTGGGCAGCCTGTCAGATTGTACTGTTGGCTGGCTGCCACCTCAGCTCTGCTTCCTGGCCAGGTCTGCTTATGTATGCCTCCTGCCCTGCTGGGGGCTCTGACTCTGCAGGGATCAGATTGAGTTTGGGACAGGCTTTTGGTTCTATGACAGGTCATCTGGGATTGTAGTGGACATTACCAGTACTCCCCAATATTTTTAGTTCTCTCCCCTTTTCCTGGATACATAGAAGACTACATTTCCCAGCACCCTCAGGGAGCAGCCATATGACTAGCTCTGGCCAATGAGCGTTGAGTGAAGATGCTATAGTGAGAGCAGATACACAATTTTCCATGCTATCTTCCCCTTCCATGAGGAACCCTGGAGCTTCACATTGAGAAGGAGGAGTCTGGAATGCTGAGATCTCATGTGGACATTAGCTGCCCTGGAAGTTGCCAGAACTCCTAGAGGACTTTTTGTGGGTGACAAGTAAACTTCTATAGTACAAAAGCACTAAGATGTTGATTTTGTTTGTTATAGCAGCAGAGCCTATTCTGGGTATAGGAAGAAAGTCACATTATTTAAGGAGCTGGACATTGGTGACACAGGGAAGCCAGAGCTGAATCCTGTGTGTATGTGAGTGTGTGTGCCTGGCTGCAGAGGCTGGGCTGTTCAGGGTCATGGGGCTGAAAGCCCAGACAGGGGATCCTGCCAGGGTACCTGATGTAGAAAAGCCTCCTGAGGGGGTGAATTTAGAAGGAATGCAGACTGGAGCAAGCTTGGGTGCTGGAGGAGACTGGAGTAGGTGGGAATCTTACACCTGGACAGTGGGCTGGGAGCCATTTCTGCAGTAGCCAAACCCCAGCAGGGCTTCCAGGCCCCCTGGCCTCCCAAACCCCATGGCCAAACCCTGCCAAGGGCAGGACTGAGTGGTTTCCCTTCCATGGAGGAAAAGTCTATGTACTCAAGTGTTCCAAGCACCAAGCAGATACTGAGTTTCCAGCTGAGCATGTGCATGGGGCCTGGGCCCAGGCAGAGGGTGGAGTGTCTGGGCTCTAGACTATTTCTTGGTCACACACAGGCTCACTTTTTGTTCCACTCAAGTCTCAGCCAAACTAGGCTCTCAAGACCACATCTAAAACCCCTGGAGGACAGGCATTTGAGGGTGGGTGGCCTGAATTAGCTGTATTGAGACCTTGCTGGTAGCCTGAGGTAGATATGACCTGACCAGGCCTCTTCCTCCATAACTGTGTCACAGTCCAGGTTTCCTGGGTTGGCCTGGATCCGTCCAGTAAATAGCAGGTTCCTGCAAATCAGGGGGTGCTTGGGATTTGGCCTGAGGTCATCCTCCATCTTTCCTTCCCAGCCCTGGGTCTCTGAGCTGTGCCTCTGTCTTTCCTTGTGGCTACCCCTTGCTTCCTGCAGGTGACTCAGGCCTTGGGGTCCTCTGGTGGCTGGAAGCCTTGGCCATTCTGGGCTCTTGACTTAATCTTCAGAGTCACCCTAACTTTCCACCTGTAACCCCTCAGAACCTGGTTTGCGCCAACCTTTAAGGAAGTTTGGAAGTTTGGAGGTTTGGAGGACCTAAGCTGGGCCCCCCTGTTGCCAACCAGCCAGCCAGACTGCTGTGCAAGGCTGGCCAGATCCTGGTTTTGTATGAGTTTGGAACAGGTGTGGCTCTTTTAAAAAAGAACACTATCTTAGTAATATGAGCAATAGAAAGAAGGATCCTATAGCTGCACACGTAGATAAAGGTCACGTATATAATATTGGGCAAAAGAAGCCCAGCATTCAAGAGCATATACTGAATAATTCCATTAAATGAAGGTCATGAAGGCAAAAATCACCATAGTGATGGAAATAGAACAGCAGTTAGGTCTGGAGCACAGACAGGGAAAGGGGCAGGTGGGAGCCTTTTGGTGTCAAGGAATTATTCTATAGTCTACATTCTATTATCTAAATTCTCTTATTTTACATCTTGATGGGGGGCTAGTTCCAGGGTGTATGTTTATGTAAAATGTATTGAGCTGTACACTTAATGCACTTTATTGTACACCTATAGTACCTCAATCAAAAAGAAAAGCAAGTGAACAAATATTACAAAATCAGACTCAGTGTCTTAAAGCCTGAGCATCATTACATTTCTGGTAAATCCGTAAATGTTTTCTCAGGGAGAGCGGCGCCCCGCCCCCAGACACCCCGCCCCCGCCAAGCAAGCCCCGCCCCTCTGTTCGCCCCGCCCCCTCCCCGCCTCGTGCACCCTACCTTGCGGCTGAACTCCTGGGCCTTGCGCCTGCGCTCTCGGTGCACGGCGTCGGGGCGCTTGCGGCCAGCTAGGCGCAGCAGTTCGCGGCCCAAAGCGAGGCCGCGGCCGGACCGCTGGGCCCGCCCGGCTGGGTTCAGGGCAGCGGGGCCGCTGTCGGGGCCTGGGAGCACGCCGAGGCTGGGCGGCACGCGTGGGCAGCGCCGCGCCAGGCGCACGAGGCGCTCGCGGCTCAGGCCGCCCACAGCCAACCCCTCCACCTCCAGGATCTGGTCCCCGGGTCGCAGCCCCCCGGCGTGCGCGCTGCTCCCCTCGGCCACCTCCAGGACGAAGCAGGGGCCGGAGCCGCCCAGCCGGAAGCCGAAGTCCTCGGGCCAGCCCTGGTTGGTGGCTGGCATGGCGCGGTGGCGGTGCGGCTGGAGCGGGAGACAGACAGCACGGGATTCCGCTGCTCTGTCGGTGGCTGCGCAGCCGCTCAGAGGCCCTGGGCACGTGCCTTCGAGGCCTCTACTTCTCTGTCTCAGTTCCCCTCCGTCTGTCTTTTGCCCCTTCCCCATTCCACTGTCGGTCTGGGTATGAGTTTTTCCACTTTTCCGTGAACCACAGGAGGAGAGTGTGGCTTTGAAGACGGAGTGGTTTAGAGGGGCAGATGAGAAGGGCAGTGAGGGCATCTGAGGGATACAGACCAGGTCTCAGGCCACGCAGAGGCAGCGCGAGGGCATGGGGGTGAGGACCGTGATTAGGGTGTGTGGTCTTCAGGGAGGGCTGGGGCTGCTGCTTCAAGTGGCCCAGGGGACACCAAGGCCAGAGTGGGTGTCTCTGAAGAAATCCACTTATCTCTATATTATCATTAGCTCTGGACTTTATAATTTAAAAACAATATGGTGGGGATGTAAAAGACAAGTGGTATTCATTGGAGTGCCTTGATTTCATACCAATGAGACTACCCCTTTTTCTATGGGTCTGCTTTACTGTCTGACTTACATGGTACATTCTGCCTCCCATTGTCCCCTCTTTCCTCACTTCCCTCCACCTTAATCCTTTTTCTTATCCCTTTTCCATCTGCAGAAATCCTCTTTCAGGGTCCTACATGAATCACAAACTTCCAGAAGCCCATAATATTGGAGCAAGAAGAGGCCCCAGAGACCACTCATACCCCTGGGGGAGGGTTTATAAACCTACCCAGACTGAGGAGGTGGAGTGTCTACACCTTGAGACAGGAGTGTCCTAAACCAAGGTCACCCAGGGGGGGAATGGCAGAGCCATCACCCATCCCCATTTCCACCCAAGGGTCTCTACACAGTGCCTCCCTGCCCATCTTGGGCAAAGTCCTCAAACTTCTGTCCAGAGGGTTCCTGCCTTTCTTGAGAATGCCCTCATAGGCTTTCCCTCGCTTGTGTTGTAGAAGATGGGGTAGGTTGACTGCTGGGCATGGTCTCCCTCTTTCCGATGCCCCAGGATTCTGGGGAATAAGCAATTATGTACTGGCCCTGGTAGCAGGGGTTGGTCAGGCCTGGCCAGTTACTGTATCCCAGCCTGTGTGTCCCAAGGAGGGTTCTTCGAAGCCCCTTCAGAATTGGTATGTTGGCCTTGGAGGGTCTTTCTCTGGGCCCATTAGCTGTAAGGACGTTGCAGGTTTAGGGCTGCCGGCAGCCATGTTGCCACTAAGTGGAGGATCAGTTCTTATGATAGCATCACAACTCCTGGATCCAGCTATGCCTGAAGTTCACCCCACTTCCATTTGACAAAAAGACCTCCCAGTGATGTGGACTCATGAATTCCTCTTTTTTTTTTAAAGGCTGTTTAGAGCTGTGGTTCTATCACTTGCAACTGATAAGATACTGAGTAGTGGAAACTGCTAAGCAAAGAGAAAACAAGAGGAGGTCTTATATGGAAGTACTATCTCCTTTCCTACTGACTTTTGGTGAGAGTTGTAAGACTCTCGTTGGGGAAGGATGGTATGGCTGATTTGGGGTCTCTGGGCTCCTGGCTCTAGGATGCTCAGGAGGAGGAGGTGTCTGTCCTCCAAAAGAGGCTGATTGTGTGGGCTGGTGAGGTATACTGGGACTGTGCCACAGTAGGGAGGTGAGGATGGACTATTCTGGATGGAACAGTCATGTGTGTATTTGTCTGTCCATCTGTTTAGAGTTCCTTATGAGAGTCTGTGGGGGAAGCCCCTGAAACTGTAGGCAGGACATGGTACGAAGGCTTATTGTTCTGGTCACAGTGTCTGCAGGCTTTCTGACCTTGGCTTAGAGGATCCCCTGAGGGCTGGTTTGTAAAGATCCTGGTCTCTGGTGCCCCTCAGCCCCCTGCAGATACTTGGAGAGCTGCTCCCGGGTGTCATCTCCCAGCAGCTCCCTCTCCAGGAACCACCTCTCCTGGGAGGCCTGGACAACACTTCTTGGAAGCTAGGGTGTTGGGAGGGAGGAGACCCATGATGGAATAGGAGAAAATGTCCCTGAGTGAACTCCAGTGAGCACCCTCGTCACCTGGCCAGCAAGAGGGCATGATATGAGAACTCCTACTCCTCATGCTGGGTGGAGGCTGTCACTCCCTAATCTGGCAGGATCAGCCCTGAACCCACTCCAGGGGACCTCATCCTCACCTGCTGGGCTGTGGTCTGATCGCTGGGCGTGAATCCTCAGAGACACTTCCTCTGGCACTTGGTGGCAAAACACTGAGCCCCTGCAGCCCACTATGCCCAGGCAGGGTGGGGGCATCATCACAGCGTGGAGGGACCTGAGGTTAGTCCTTGTCCTGTGAGAGGAGCCGTCAGCTCCTCCACTACCAAAGAGGGGCTGGGTGGAAACCGAATGTGGGGCTTGGCACGTAGTCCTCCTCCCCACGCACCTCTGTTTTGACCAGCACATGCCGCATGTCTGCCCGGCAGACATCAGAGCAGGCACCTCCTAACACTTCCATGCCCAGCTTAGGGAGCCCACGGGGTCAAAGAGGCTGCCAGCACTCGAGCCCCAAGGCCTTTTGAACCACGTCAAGCCCTCCAGTGTGTCCCCAGCCCTACAGACTGACGCGAGCCCTCTCTCCCACCCACCCAGAGTCCCCAGTCTGAGCCACCCTCTCTTCCCCAGAAGCAGGAATCCAGGTCCAGACAGCACTGACTGGGCTATCTCAGGGTACAAAAAATAGGCCTCAAAGGGGCCCCTGTCCCAGATGATCGGTTGTTGTACCCCCTCCCCAGGTCTGCTCACCTTCCTTGCTGATGACTGCAATAGCCACAGAGACAGAGCACAGCACTCAGGGAACACCAGGACACTCGCCTGTTGCCGGGGCCTCTGCTGCTCCGGGCCTTGGCATCGGTTACTGATGCGCCCGAGGTGACAGCTGGAGTTTCTAAGGCAAAGTGATCCTCTGAGTAACCTGAGAAGGCCCCGTTACCGGGTAGACCAGCAGGATGGCTGGATGGCTTGGCCAGGAACCAGGTTGGCTGCCCCTGCTGCGTGGTCCTGGGGGCAAGCAGTGGTCCTCAGGGGGAAGTGAAGACTTCCTGGGGCCGGGCCCATCCACAAGGTCACAGAGCTTGTCAGATGGGCCCAGAGGATTGGACAGGGTTGTTCCGGGGTGGGTGTGCCACTTGGTTCAGTGGGACCAGTGATGGTAGAAGGACCATCAGGGTGTGGGCGTCTAGTTCCTGCAGAGAACACCTGACGGGAGCCTCCCAGGCTGGGATTATTGGCAGGAGAAGGGAAGACTCAGGCCAGAAGAAATGGTTTGGATGGGGGAAAAGGCAGTTTCCTAAGTAATTGTGGAAATGAGTCAAGCCTGTAAAACTACAGGCAAAAGGAGTGGCACGTAGCATTGTACTCTGGTCGGGGAAAGTGGTGTCCCTCGGGGGTGCAGCTTAGCAATCTGAGATCACGCTATACATGCATTCTAGAATTGAATACTTAAGTGGATGGTGGGAGCTGGGCTTCTCACTTTTGGAGTGGGAGGTTACAGACAAGCAAGAGGAGGAAGCTAGAATAATCCATGCGGAAGCTAGAATAACCCATGTTAGAGTCGTGGACATCAGGATGAACTCATACTTAGCTTAATGGAAGTACAGATGGATCCATGTGGAAATTTCTACAGATACGTGCATGTGCAGAAGCTAGTATATGCTCATGCATTTGCCTGCTCTGTCCGCTGAAAGGGCCTGGGAACAAAGACACCCCAGGAGCAGTGAGCACAGCCAGTGCCCAGATCTTGATTTCTGGTATCTTTCCCCAGTGACAGAAGCCCAGGCTCCCCGGAGAAATGGCTGATTCCTGGGCTGGGGCGGGGAATATCGAAGATGAGCCTGGAGCATCTTCTAGTGCTAGAAAGTAAAGAAGTGCTAAACATACATGCACGCGCGCACACACACACATAGAAAAATGGGATTTACCAAAGAGACACAGGAGCCAATTGAAAATGCCCTCAATGGCCAAAGCTGAAACAATTTGGCAAACAAAATAACAAAGCATTGGATTATAACCCAAAGTACAAAATAAATATCTACAAATCCATATAATATAAATAGATGATTGATTAAATCAGTAAATGAGAGGAAAAGACAAATCTCCCATGTTTAAGAATTTATGCACTCTAGCCTGGGCAACAAAGTGAGACTCTGTCTCAAAAAAAAAAAAAAAAAAAATCAAGTAAAAAAAAAGAATGTATGTAGCGAATTCCTCCTCAGGGAGGTGGAGTGTCACTCCCTACACTTGAATGTGGGCTGCACAGAGTGACTCCCTTCCAAAGAGGACATATGAAGGGGTTGGAAGAAGGGGAAGAGTAACTTCATGGGGGAGAAACCTGACAAACACCACCTCAGTCAGGATCAAGGTTAACATCAACACTGACAAGTCATGTGGGTAAGATGTAACCTTGACTTGATGTGATGAGAATGGCATTTTGCCTCTTCTCCCCAATACCCATAAGCAGGCTAACTATGAAAAAATGACAGGGAACCCCAACTGAGGGACATTCTACAAAATACCTGACTCTAAAACTGTCAAAATCTTCAAAAGCAAAGAAAGTCTGAGAAACTGTCACAGATTGGAGGAGCCTGAGGAGACGTGATATTAATAACTCAATGCAGTATGGTATCCTGCATCCTGGAACAGAGAAAGGGAATTTTAAAAAAACTAAGAAACTTGAATTAGTAAATAATAATGAATCAATTTTGCTTCATTAGCTGTGACAAATGTACATAGCAAGGTAACATGACCATAAGGGAAAATGGGTATGGTGTATACTGGGACTTTGTGTTATCTTCACAACTTTTCTGTAAATCTAAAACTATTCTATAATTAAAACTTTGTTTTTAAATCCTCTTCTCAGGTGCAGGGGAAGGGGACCAAACAGACTAGAAGCTACTCTTAATAGGTCACCATGATTGAACTGGATGTTTTCC